TTTATGTATACATTTGTCTATATCTATCTCGATTCGTTTTGGCTGTTACAAACAACCGTTATGTGAACAAAATTAATATACCCTTGTGCACAAGTGCGCTCGGGTATTTTTATTTTGAAATCAAAAAATATTTAGAGGTCGCTCAAAGCGCCCAAAGTTGTCCATGTATTTTATATGGGGAAAAAACAACTTTTCGTAGAAATGGTATAGAATAGTTAAAAATCAATATTTTTCTGTTTATCTGCTGAAGATTCCCAATAATAATACCCAATTGTTTATTTAACCATTTTTTCATTGCAACTATAATTTATAACTCCGCCAAAAACCCACAAAAACCGCAAAAAATGCTATGGGGCAACCAATAAAAAATCCTTAGTATGAAAAATGGCTAAATAAACACTTGGGTATTATTATTGAAAGTTTCCTGAAGAGAACCAGATTTTTCCGATCGAAAAATATTGACTTTCAGGAATTCTATACCATTTCTACGAAAAAAATTATTTTGCCCATATAAAAATACATGCAAAACTTTGAGCGCTTTGAGCGACCTCTAAATATTTTTTGCTTTCAAAATAAAAAATAGGGGTTTAATTTTTTTCGATATAGAACAATCCTAGATGTGAGAGCATTACAATTCCGACTCTACTGTTTCTGGACCACCCTAATGTTCATACATACATACATTCATCTGCTAAACGCTAATACACACAATTACATTAACAACAATTTTTTTAGGAATGTAACAATATCATAAACATTTAATAATTTAAGAAAATATTTAAATTAATTTAAAAAAAAATTTTTTATCTTTAAAAGAATGAAACTAAACTAAAACAAAAAATTATTTAAAAAAAAAATAAACAAAAATTAAATAAAAAAAGATCCGTTGTTGCCCGCCGACTCGTACTCGAACTCGGGTCTCTCAATTGGCGGTCTAGTGCTTTGCCCACTCGGCCATTGCGACTGCTGAGCCACGTGAGCATACATAAAAGTTTATTGTTTCCTTTGCACTAGCTGATATCGAATCAGCATTCAAATCTGGCAACGATATTTCGAGTTTACTCCGATTCAGTTATAGCAATTTTTTCGTATTCGTAGCAGGCATTCGAATTCGTAGATTTTCTACGAAGGATTCCGTGATAGCCCTGAATATGGCTGTTACTTTAACCCTGTGCTACTATCGTGACCGAAGTTTCCCCATTATATTAACGTGTAATCTCTCAGACACCAATTTTCCAGATAAAAAAATATATATTAGATATTTATCAATAAACTTTTTTTCGATTTAAACTGAAAATTCTATCAATATTTTAAGTACTCATTAATGAAATTGTCATATAAATAAAATATATGACGAAAAATAGGCGTTTTTAGTAATCAGTGGTATTGAATGCTCGGAAAAAATGTCGAACCTTCGGTGTCTGTCAGACTACCACGTCAGTCGCAGACCAAAATTCGCAAAAGTTTTTCCATCTTACAAAAGGGTAAATTTTTTGTGCCACCTCTTTTGTATATCATACAATATCCTATAAATATGTTTTTCCTTATCCATGCATTTTTTTTACTTTTCAGGTGAACTTATGCTGCTGAATGAAGCAACGTTTTTGGATAATTTAAAAACGCGTTATTATAAAGACAAAATTTATGTAAGTACTTAAGCAAGATATATGTACCAGTATGCTAAATTTACCAATAAGAATGAATAGCTCTATTGATTTATATAAAAAAAAACATAAGCGCGATATAGGCAGTGAGTCTAGTTTCCCATTTTCGTTTTAAAAGGATACTCGCCAAAAGTGTATCTCATTCGGAGACGATATAAATCTTTAGAACATTCAAGTTTTAGGAATAATCAATATGCACGCCAGTAGGATAAAAAGTTTATATTTAAAACTTAATTCAAAAGGAGGAGCAAATGTTTTCAGTTATTGCTCCCAACACTAAAGCTTACTTGCAAGAGCTAGATTGAGTTAGAAGACTTTCACTTAAAAAAGGACAGCTTTCGCCAAGTATGGCGAACCATGTTTTATGTTTTTATAAAGAAATAATTGTATTAGAAATGAGAAATGAAGGAAAAGAGTAGAAGGGAAGGTGTGTATTTATAAACGGTAATGGTAGCCATTGAGGGTGCGTTCACACAGAAAGCCCATCGGTGGCTTTGCAAAGAAAGGCGAGGCGAAGCGAACCTTCAGGTGTTCTCAATGAACGAGGCAAAGCAGAGCTTTTCTAATGGACTCGGCTGCAAAGATACCCCAAAACTTACCGTCAAAGAAAAATGGCAAATACTCAATTTTATACAAAAGATTAGTTGAAGCGTCACAAAGCTGAAAAATTAAATTCAAAATCTAAAACATATTTACTTTCAGCTCGAAACCGCTTCTGGAAAAGCTTGCTGTATGATCATTTTCATGTATGTATAGCAATTTGAAAGCTTCAGAGGATACTGATATGCAGCCTTGACAAAACATCATGTCAGAAAGCTTTTAAGGCTCAGCCTCATAAAAGCAGGACTGCGAGAAGTAATGGCCTGGAGTGCGTCTCAGGACTTGCAGTTATTTTACCTCTCGTCGCATAAGTACTTAAAGCTTAGTTTCTTGAAATACTATAAATACTGAAAAACAATCTATTGCAACAAGTATAGATGGTACAAATTTTAAGTCCATTTCTCGATCATGATCCAATGATCGTATCTAAACCAAATTAGTATGGGACCACCTCTGAGGTACCACCTATCTGGAAAAAGAATTATGGAAAACGGGTAACGTAGTCAAAAGTTATGCGGTAATATACATAAAAAAATAAATGAGCAAAACGCATTCCGACGAATTTGTAACCTCCTCCTTTTTTTAAAGTCGGTTAAAAAAAAATTACAAAAAATTTATTCTCAAAGTTGTTATTTCGCCAAAAATGCCACTTTACGATGTTTCATGAATCGCACTAATGTCTGTTTTTATGAACGGAATGCCCAACAATGTCATTAAAATTTTTGTCATTTAATGCTTAGTGGAAATTCACCCTACTTAAGGAAATGCTTAAATTTTTTTTTGATTTTTATTTTAATTACAAGTGAGAAAAAATGTAAGGTTTACTGCGAAATTAGCTATTTTAAAAAATGTATAATACAATGGAGCTTACGTATACATGTAGATTTTTTTTTGCAATACGGACGCTTTTTTGTTTTTTTTTTTTGTTTTCGCAAACTTTATATTTACGCTTTTTAGAAAAGATTTTCTGCAAAACTGCATACGTATTTAAATTTTTTTCTAAAAGAAGTAACTAAAAAGTGCTAAATTTTTATGAAAATTCCGATTTTTGGAGTTTTTGTTATATTATTAGCCATAATTTTATATAGAGTTCATTGAATTATTTGGTCTTTGCTCTATCAAGTTAGAAAGGAGGGAAATGAGGGTTCCCATATTTTTTTTGTTCCTGTCTCCAAATAAAATTTTATAGATTTTCTGAGGTAAACCAGTATGCATCAATTGAGGAAAAATCGAATTTCGATTATCGATTTTTGTTTTAATCGATTCACCGATCGAATCGAAACTAAAAAATTGAATCGGAAGGGCTCGATTAATCGATGTAAAAACGGCATCTCTACTTTGTAACCGGCAATTGTAGTTTCCGTTTCAGTTTTGTTATTAAAATTTTGAAAATTTTCGACTACAAAATGTGGAGAACTTTCAGAATAGGCCTGGTAATATCGTAACGACACCGATGTTATTTAATTACCATTTTTGTTATTTAATATCCAGTGGACATGTCTGTCGTATTTACAGCAATAAACTTCAGGATTATTTACATATGTACATTAAAGTGGTCCAAAAATGTATGTAAAAACAAGTAAGAAAGTCTAAGTTCGGGCGGAGCCGAACATTAAATACCCGGCGCAAGTATTAAATATATGTTTTTTCACCCTTCCGAAACCTTCCGCTAGATGGT